ATATTTCTCTCCCTTCTACTCTCTCTGAAAATCAATGAAGAAAATATCCTCAGGTGAAGATTAAAAACAAACAAAAAAAAAACAAAAAAAAAAACATTTGGGCAAATCACTCTTAAGATTTATAATTCTGGAAGCAATTGAGATTTTGCTTCCTGGCATGTCATCTGGTTGGCGCAAATAAAATCATAAAATATATTTTAAAAGATTTATAATACTGATAAAAATTTAACCCAGTGGGTGTGGCTCAGTGGTTGAGCACTGACCCTTGAAACAGGAAGTCACAATTCAATTCCCAATCAGGGCACATGCCTGGGTTGTGAGCTCGATCCTCAGTAGGGGGCATGCAGGAAGCAGCTGATCAATGATTCTCATCACTGATGGTTCTCTCTCTCTCCCTCTCCCTTCTTTTCTTATACAAAAAAAAAAAAAAAAAAAAGAAAGAAAGAAAGAAAGAAAGAAAGAAAGAAAGAAAGAAAAGAAAAGAAAAGAAAAGAAAAGAAAAGAAAAGAAAAGAAAAGAAAAGAAAAAGAAAAAGAAAATTTAACCAGAAATAAAGACTCCAGACAATTTGTCACCAAAAGTTGAAATCACTTATTGAGGGTATAGGTGGTGACTGATCTTCAGGCTCCCTTTTCAGGATTAACTTAAAATCCCATAACTCTACCATGAAAGAATTGGCAGATGTGAAAGGATGGATGCAGGAGCCGAATTTTTTGTTTGTTTGTTTTGTAAATCCTTACCTGAGGATATTTTTTCCATTTATTTTTCAGAGAGAGAGAGTGGAAGGAGTAGGAGAGGAAGAGAGAGAGAGAAACACTGATGTGAGGGACACATCAACCAGTTGCCTCCTGCACTCGCCCTGACTGAAGTGGGAATCCTGCAATGGAGATACAACTCTCTATCTGTATGAGGATCTCAGGTTAGAGCATTAGCCAGAACCACAACCCTACAGCTCCTGGCCCTGGCTGATGCTCAAACCACTGATCCACGCCAGCCAGGCATGAGCCATATTTTATTTCTATTGCAAGCCTCAGGGCCATTTCTGTTCATGGGTCCCAGAAAGCCCCTCAGCTCTCACAAACTGCATCCTTGTGAGATGTTTCATACCAAAACCAAGCTGATAAATAAGGCAAAGAAGGCAGAATCCGGGATCAGATTCTCACCTGAGATGATCACTTCCCAGGGGCTTTCATGGGGACGTGTGTTAACACAGCCCATTCGTGGATTTCTAACTGATTCTTTAAAGGCACCCAGACAATACTCCACATACCCAGTGCCCCAAGTCTGACCTGCACGTCCGCTCGAAGTCAAGAGGGTGTGGACCAAGAATGCTGCTCTTTCTCAGTACATTTGTTTCCTATAATTCTAGTATATTCTACTATTATAAACTGTGCAGTCTGAGCCTGCCATATCCAACACGGCATTCGAGGAACACTTTCTGATCACTAATAGCTCTAACCTTGAGTCCATCTAGCCAGTCCTCTAAGGGAGAAGCGTGTCTGGCCCCTGTGTCTTCCCAGCCCCTGCTGAGCTCACAGCTGGAAAAACTAAGAGGTGAGATACAAGCTAGGGCCTCTCGGATTGAGCAGTGGACATTGCCCCAAACATCACAGCTTCTAGAAAGCAAGTGACTTCTCTCTACACCTGTCCTCAAAGCCAGGTTCTGGGGAGTAGTCTACAAAGAGAAAGAGAGAGGACAGCAAGCCTCTCTGATGTTGGGGTGATGCCAAAACACCCTGAAAAGAACAAGGATGAGGCTAAAACACTACCTTCTATTTCAGATTAGCCCACCACCAAAATGTTTTTTTTCTAACTGAAAATCAATCAATGTAATCCATTATATTAACAGTAAAAAGAAAAAAAAAACAACCTCATGCCCTGACCAGTTTGGCTCAGTGGATAGAGTGCCAGTCTGCAGACTGGAGGGTCCCAGGTTCGATTCCGGTCAAGGGCGTGTACCTTGGTTGTGGGCACATCCCCAGTGGGGTGGAGGCAGGAGGCAGCTCATCGATGTTTCTCTCTATCCCTCTCCCTTCCTTTCTGTAAAAAAATCAATAATATATTTTTAAAAAATACCTCATGATCAATGGGGGGGAAAAAGCATTCAACAGAACTCAACATCCAAAAACTCTCTGAAAACTAGGAACAGAAGGAACTTCCTCCACCCAAAATAGGGCATTTATGAAAACCTACAATTAACATCACACTTAGCAGTAAAAGATGAAAAGATTTCCCCCCAAGACTGGGAACAAGGAAAGGATGTCCACTCACTGCTCCTATTCAACATAGTAGAGTTCTAGCCAGCAAAAAAAGGCAAGAAAGAAAAAAGTTATCCAGATTGAAAAGGAGGAAGTAAAATTGTTCTTATTTGCAGATAACAAAAAACTCTTAGAACTAAAAAGTGAGTGCCACAAGGTTGCAGGATGCAAGGACAACAACCAAAAATCAATCGTGTTTTCACATACTAACTACTAACAATGAACAGTTAGAAACGGAATTAAAAAATCAACACCACTGCTCTGTATGTTCTAGATTGGGGGCCGTCTGCACGTAAGCTGTTGGAGTCCATCAACTCTAGGCTCCAGTTTGTTATGGAAAATGAAAAGCACGTGCTGGGGTACGAACAGACTCTGAAGATGAGCAGGCAAAGTGAAACTGGTCATCCTCACCAACACTGTTCAGCCTTGAGGAAATCAGAAATAGAGGACTATGTCATGGTGTCTATCACTACAGTGGCAACAATGCTGAATTAGCACAGCATGTGACATACTACAGGGTATGCACACTGGTTATCATTGATCTAGGTGATTCTGATATCATAAAAAGCATGCCAAAACATATTAGTGAAAAGTAAATCATGCAAGATTTTTCTTTAATAACCAAGTGGCCATTACTTGGTTTAAAAAATAATTTTAAAAAATAAAGACTAATACCACTTACAATAGCTCCGAAAACCTGACATACTTAAGTATAAGCCTAACAGAATGTGTATAGGATCTACACGTTAAAAATTACAAAATGCTGATGAAAGAAATAAAAGAAGATCTAAGTAAATGGGAAAGCACACCATGTTCATGGACTGAAGACCCAACTCACTTCTCTCCCAAACTGACCTACAGGTTTAGAGCTCTTTAATCAAGTCTTACAAGGAGTTTTTTTATAGATATAGAAAATTCTAAATTTATATAAATAGCTTACATAATACTGAAGAAAAGTGAAGTTGGAGGTATCACTCACTATAATTAAGAATAGTTGTAGTAATTAAGAATAGGCACACAAATCAATGAAACAGAACAGAATGTTCTGAAACAGATCCACACGTGGCCAAATGATTTTTGACAAAGATGCAAAAGTGATCCAATGGAGGAAGGATAGTCATTTCAGCAAATGATGCTGGAACTAGTGCTGGTTTCATATGCATAAAAATAAACCTCGACCAAAAACTTGCATCTTATACAAATGTAAACCCAAATGAAGTAGATCAACTACAAAATGTAAAACTATAAAACTTTTCCAAAAAAACAGGAGGAAATTTTTATGACCTGGAGATAGGCAAACAGTTCTCAGGTATGGCTTCAAACGTGTGATCTTTTCAAATAAGAAAAATTAATAAGACTTTATAAAAATTCTTTTTCTCTGCAAATGACACTTGTAACAGAATAAAAAGATACTATAAAATTGCATATCTGACAGGGGACTTATAAAGAACACAAAGAATTTCAAAATTTAACGTTTAGAAAACTAACAATCCAGTTTAAAAAATAGGCAAATGACTGGAACTGACACATCACCAAAAGCATATATAAGGCAAATGAGCACATGAAAAGCTGCTTACCATCATTAACAATTAAGAAAATGCAAATTACAATCACAACGAGATACCACTACACACCTATTAGAATGGCTAAAACGAAAAAATGCTGACAACAAGGAGTGCTGGCGAGGAGTGGAGCAACAGGAACTCTTACACATCGCTGAGGGAAATGTGAAATGGTACGACCATTTGAGGAAACTGTTGGTGATCTCTGATAAAGTTAAATACACACTTACCGTATCAACAGCAATCCGCTCGTAGGTATTTACTCAAAAGAAAGGAAAACATATGTCCATACAAAAACCTGTCGGTGAGGACTGATAGCTGCATTATGCATAATCGCCCAAAACTGGAAATCTTCCCAACTGCCCTCAACTAGTGAGGACAGGCAGGAATACTACTCAGTCACGAAGAAGGAGGAAGTACTGGCTGATGCAACAACCTGACTGGATCTCAAAGGCGGCCACAGTGAGTGAAAGAAGCAGAACTCAGAAGGTCATTACTGAATGATTCTGTTCATACAACAGTCCCAGGAAAACAAACCTCTAGTGCTGGAGAAAGGGTCAGTAGTGGGTGCCAGGGGTTATGGGTGAGGGGAGGTCATGACTACAAATACCAGGAGGGAGTTTAGGGAAGATAACCATCAGGATCCCGACTGTGGCAGTAGTTACACAAACATGCATGTGTGTCAAAACTCAGGGCTGTATACTCAGAAAATACACAGCTCTGTATTAATTTACAAAATAAAAGTAAATATGGAAACTAGAGTTTTCAAAGATAAATTTTTAAAGCAGATGTTTTGGACAGGAGCATGGTGGGAACAATAGCTCTTAAGAGAAATCTCCTCTTGTTTATTCAGTATAGTTTCATATGGGACTGATCTAAGCCTCTAAGGGGCTGATAATAATTATGACATCACCAGCAGCACATACCAGTATGGAGTTCTTTTTACAAATATGCAGTGTTCACAATAACCCATGATGGGAAATTTATGTCTTTGGTTTTTTTTTTAAACCAGTGGAGGAACTGAATTTTAAAGACAACTTCTGCTGAGACTTGCCTTGGGTCACAGGGCCTGGCTGGGGCTGGTAGGGCTCCCTTCCAGGGCTCCCTTCCACTCACTGTCCCTACTTCCGCCGCTAGTCTAATCAGGGCCTAACCTATTGCCCGAGAGCCTAGTACATACCGTTGCTGGAGACGACCTGGAAGTGTGGGCCAGCGAGTGTCTGGTGCTGTCCATCCCCCCGTGGATGAGATAGGCTCCTGTGCTAGAGATAATGGGGCTCCCCCCGACATCCATGGTGATGCCCACCATGCTGTGGGAAGGGACTGCTGTCGGTGAGGAGCCTGCGACGGTCACTTGGGCATCACCTGGGGCTTCAAAGTAAGATGCTGTGCTGCTTGTGGCATACATTGGAGGCTCGGGGTTATAGGCATAGGCCGTCCGCCTGTCAGAGAGAGAGAGAGAGAGAGAGAGTATGCCTCCTCTGAGTCTGGAAGAAATCCTGCAAAACTTCATGTCAAAGTGGAAGCCTGATGAGACTGAACATATGGGGTAACTAATGCCTACGCATCACAGAGTTCAATCGACTGAAAATATTCAGGCTCACATGCGGACTCATCAAAAACTGATCATTTAAAAATTCTAAGTATGAAGGGGTCATATGAGGGAGCTCCTTCATGGAGATGGAATACTTCTGTGTCTTATTATGGTTATGTGAAATTTACACATGAGCCCTAGTTGGTTTGGCTCAGTGGATAGAGCATCGGCCTGTGGACTAAAGGGTCCTGGGTTCAGTTCTGGTCAAGGCCACATGCCCAGGTTGTGGGCTCGATCCCCAGTAGGATGCATGCAGGAGGCAGCTGATCAATGATTCTCTCTCATCATTGATGTTTCTTTCTCTTTCTCTCCCTCTACCATCCTCTCTGAAGTCAATAAAAATATATTTTAAAAAACATTTTATACATGAGAAAAATTTTTATACAGAACTACACACACACACACACACATACACACACACAAACGGGATCAAAACTGGTGAAATGGAATAAGAACCATGGGCTAGTTAACAGTCCTGTCCCAATGTTACTTTCCTGTTATTGTCCTACAGTCATACTCAAAAAAGACGTCACCACAGGGGGAGACTAGGTGAAGGGTCTCCCATTTTGTAACTTCCTATAAGTCTATGATTCTATCAAAAAGATTAAAAAATGAAATTGCATAATAAAAAGAAATTTCTAAGTGATATGAAGAATTTATCTAATATTACTTTAACATCTGGATTAAATGCTTAGCTAACTATGTATATCATCCCATAGAGTTTTAAGTCCACTCCAGTAATGCTGGCCATAGTAAAAGGGAGTTGGTAATAATTTCTCCTTAGTGGTGACTTATCCTGAGGGAAGGCCTCTCTGGTGACAGGTGGCCCAAACCTCTGGGAGGCATGCACCCCCATCCTGTCCCCTGGTGACATGATATATAACTGTGATACAATCGAACCCAAGAATTTGACACTGGTACAATCTACACACCTTGCTCAGATGTCATGGGTTTGACCTTCAGTGTTGTGCTGTAGAAGCTCACACAACTCCTTCCCCACAACCACACTCTCACCCTTGATCCCTGAACTTTCAAAGGAGAATTGTCGAAATCAAATGAGCAAAAGGACTTATGTCTTGAGTCCAATGAGCTTCCCGAGAAATGTGTCATTTTCTGCCACAAGCATCACATAGTTTGCAAGCAGAAAATCCTACAGGTCCCTGACAAATAAAAAATCAAGTCATATCAACATCATAAAAAGCCAGAGGTTAACAAAGGCCAAGAGGAGAAAGCAGAGATAAAAAAGGCTTCTGAATCTTTAGACTTGGATTACGGTTTGTTTTTTCTTTAGACTATCTTTTTCTAGGGGAAAAAACAACAACAAACCTACAAAAGTGTGTGATTTCTGAAATCTCCACAGAACTGTGATGATCTAATACCACAGTAATGGTTCCAACATAGCACCCAAAAGATAAGGGGGAGGGGTTTGTGTAAATACATCCCCAAAAGGAAAATGGTGGGAGAGTGGTGAAGGAAGGTTCCAGGTGTGGCCTGAAGTTCTCTGTGAGGCCCCTTCCGAGGACAGGGAAACCACGTACAAGGCTCCATTCGTGTAGACGGCGTCTCCACCTTCCACGTACTGCACTTGGGATGGGTACACGTGTTGCACAGGCTGGACCTGAAACATCAGATATTTCGTGTTACACACAGTATAGTCTACTTGTTCATGATTTTCCATAATTCAAGCTGAAAATAACTTTGACTGCCTTTTATGAACATTAAGTACTGCATTACAGTTGGCATGTCTTGAAAGAAACTAGGAGAGGTAATCCTGATACACTGCTATTCATGAGAGAAGCCAAACCCAATGCGCCTGTTCCATGGGGAAAGAAGCCAAACTGACAGCTAGGAAGAGCCCTGGGGCCTGCCAGCCACTGGGTAAAAGGGTTGGTAATGCTGGACGGTGGAAATCAGAGTATGGACAGAACGCCAATCTCTGTGCATTGGACCTGTCACCCACACCCAAGGACAGGGCAGAGGGCTCCAGCTGGTCACTCTCTACAGGTCCCCCTATGCCCTCTTATGGTGGCCCTGGTGCTCCTCCCCAGCAGGAGGGCAGGGGTCCCAGAGCCACACTGGGGAGAGACTGTGAAGATCTGAGCAGAACTAGAAGAAACGATGGGCCTAGAGTGGGAAATGTAGACCGAGGGTGATGGGAGGACCACAGAACAGCCATACCTGGTCCCTGTCAGTGCAGCGCCTTTAGCTAATGGCCCACAGGGATGCTGACCCTGGTGGTAGAGGCTGAGATCTGCATGGAAGACTTCAGAATCTCACCACAAAGAGAACCTTACCCAATGCCTAATTCAACCTCATTTTGGGGTAACAAAATTAAAGGATGGGTCCCATCGTGACCTCTCTCTAGGCCTGTGTATGGAGCTGATTCCCACCTCCGAGGACAACCCAGCACAAATACACTCATACATGCTCAACTCCCGGAGTAATAGCATATCATGAGGAGGCCAGGGATTACCATGCTGAATGGGCTGTGCCTTAGGGGACCAAGTGAAATGCACAAGTCACTCCACAATTCTGAGCTGCCCAGAGAGAAAGTGGTGGTACAGGCCTCGCCCCACAGAAGGAGGAAGCTTCTAGAATCATGACATTAGCCTTGATCTCGCCTCCCTCAAGAAGCTAAGGTTCCCTTCTACGCCTACTCAGAACTTTTGTTTCTCCCTGACCCCATAAGCCTCCCTTGGTTCCCCCTACACACACTGCTCATCTGAATAGGAACTCCTGAAGAAAGAAGCATGTACTCTGGGGTCTCGGCCATCTCTCTATTTCACTTATGGCAGGACCCTGCACAAATTTTAATTCAGCATCTTGCAGAGCACCAGCCAGCCCTTGGGCCAGATCTAGTTTGCCTGTTTTTTGTAAATAAAGTTTTACTGACACACAGACATGCCCCTTCTTTTTCATCTATGGCTGCCTCTAGAGACAAAGCAGAGTTGAGTGGTTGTGCAAGACACTATCTGGCCTGCAAAGCCAAAAAATGCACTATTTGGTCTTTTCCAGAAAAGGGCTGCTGATCACTGTCCTAGATTCCACTGACTGTCTGAGCTAATGGTCTGTGCTGTTCTTTAGTGGGTGAGCCCACACTTTTACGCTTTCTTCCCAGATAATTTAATCTCACAAGAGGCACTTTCTTGGTCTTGGATCTTGTCTGAGGGTATAACACTTGTTGGCAGAGAGGTTTGCCTCCCCAGGAAGTTCCGTGTTTCTCCAATCCAGAACCTTTGCTGTTTGCATGTCTAGCTCAGCACTCAGTGCTCTATCAAAGGGCTGGCTTATGTCTCAGGCATTGAATTTCTGAATGAATGAAAGATCACAGCTGTCTTGGTTTGCTGCAAAACTGTTTAAAGTGAAAGATCTTTAAAAAACATAGCTTCCCAAGAACCTTTTGGTAAGGAACTGAAGAGATTAAAGAAGGAGCAGCAATGACAGAAAAGAATGTATAACACACAGAGGCCTCTGCATCGCTAAGTGCTAATATGCCCCACATCACCTGTGCTGTGGTTACCTGCTGTGGCACCTGCTGGATTCTGGGAAGGGAGATTGGCTGCATCTGGGCCCCTTTGGAAGCCGAGCCCGTTGCCTGGACCAGCACCCTCTAAAAGGGAAGGAGAGAGAAACATTCAGACTTGTTAGAGCTTAGGCCTGAAAACAAACAGAATACAATAACAGCCACTGCCGCCTGGCCTGCTGTTGCTTTATTGGTCACACAAAACTGAAAATGTGAAGGATCAAATGAACGTCAAAATCAAAAGAAACAGGAGTGTTTTGTTTACACAAAGCTGGGGCTTTAGGAATCAATGACTTCAATTCTGTGATTTTCCAAATAGACCCTCAATGTCACTGGTTGTAGTAATTCTGCAGTGCTTTGCCTTCTAAAGCACTGCAGAATTATATAAAAAGAAATATACTGTATAAAAATAAATCAACAAAGACCAGGCATTTTATGAGCTCACGATCAAGGACAAAAAAATAAATAGTGCAAATATCAATGAATGAATGGATTCACACAATGTGGTCTCTCCACACAATGAAATATTACTCAGCCCTGAAAAGGAGAAAAGCTTTGATATGTGCTACATGTGGGTGAACCTTGAACACATAATGCTCAAAGAAGCCAGACACAAAATCACAGGTGGTTCTGTTTATGTGAGATGTCCAGAACAGGCACATCCACAGACATGGGAAGTAGGTTTATGGTTGTCAGAGGCTGGGGAAGGGGATGAGGAGTGACTGCTATGGGAAACAGGTTTCTTTTTGGGGAGTGATAAATGTATGAAAAATGCCATTTATTTGTTTGCTTTATAATGGTGAACTCTACATGATGCGAATTTCATCTCAACTAATTAAGTAAATAAGAACATTAAGGATTTGCATTCATATGCTCTAAAGCTGAACTGTCCAATATGGTAGCTACTAGAGACAAAGCAGAGTTGAGTGTATAATAGCTACTAGAAAAAAGCAGAGCTGTGCAGCCGTTGTGGCCATTTCAATTTTATTCTATTTAAACTAGAGGCCCAGTGCACGAAATTCGTGCATGGGGGTGTGTCCCTCAGCCCAACCTGCATCCTCTCCAATCTGGAACCCCTCGGGGGATGTCCGACTGCCATGCCTAAACAAGCAGTTGGATATCGCTCTCACAATTCTGGACTGCTGGCTCCCAACTGTTCGCCTGCCTGCCAGATTGCCCCTAATTGCTTTTGCCTGCCAGCCTGATCACCCCATAACCACTCCCCTGCCAGCCTGATCAACACCTAACTGGTCTCTTGCTGGCCTAATTGTCCCTGCCTTCCCCTGACAGCCCAGTCACCCCCAAATGCCATCCCCTGCATATTACCTCTTTATTAGATAGGATTTTTTTCTTTAACATATTGGACAGCCCTAACTGGTTTGGCTCAGTGGATGGAGCAACAGCCTGCAGACTCAAGGGCCCCAGGTTCGATTCCAAGTCAAGGCCATGTACCTTGGTTGGGGGCACATACCCAGTGGGGACTGTGCAGAAGGAAGCTGATCAATATTTCTCTCTCATAGATGTTTCTAGCTATTTATCCCTTTCCCTTCCTCTCTGTAAAACATTGCTGCGTGTGTCCACGCACCGGCTGCCAGCCTGAGATCCCAGGCTTGGGTGGGGGCCCAAACTGCCACTTGGTGCTGGAGCATTTGTAAATAGCTGCAGGCGAGGTGGGAATGTCCTCACATCACTATGGTTCCCACCCTACCTGCAGCCGATTGGCACCTGCGCTCATTAGGCTCCAAGTGGCCAAGGGACCCCTGCCTCTCAGGGCCTAAACATGCGCCTACAGGCTAGAAGCAGCTTAGGTCCCAGGAGGATGTTCCCAGGACCCAGGCTGCTCAGCGTATGCAAATTAACTGCCATCTTTGTTGAGTTAATTTGTATACTCACTCTGATTGGCTGTGGGTGTAGCAAAGGTATGGTCAATTAGCATTTTTCTCTTTTATTAGTGTAGATAAGCTGTAAAATTCCGTTTCGCAGGCCCACTGGACACATTCCCAGTGCTCAGAGCCATGTGAGGCTGGTGGCAGAACACATCTGTGTCTGTGTAGTGGGAAGTTGTGTTGGGTACTGTAGGAGGACTAAGAGGGGAAACATGGACAATGCACCATAGGAACTGAGCTGCAAGAATTCCTGTTTCTGGCAAGGAAGCCTGGGTATTCATTGTTCAGGGAACAAAATACAGCTTGTGAATAAGGGTGCTGGAGGAAAGGCAGTGGCGAGGCGAGGCTTTGAGCAGCAGACAGTGTATGTGGGGGTAGAAGGGGAAAGGCAGGGGTGTGTGAATGTTGCCATGGGGTTGGGGGAGGGGCACCTGGATGCATCTCTAGCCCTGGAACCTGGAGAGACACCGTGGCCATGGCAGGACCCTTTTCCCCCACTCCCACCACCCCCCCTTCTGGCAACCACCAATCTGTCCTCTATCTATAAGCTTAATGAGTGGGTTTTTGTTGTTGTTTCATATGCAAGTGAGATCATATAGAGTTTAACATCTCATTTAGCATAATTCCCTGTAAGTGCCTCCATGTGGTAGCAAATGGCACAATTTTATTCTTTTTATGGCTGAGTAATATTCCACTGTATCTATGTATCACATCTTCTTTACCCAACTGTTTAGATGGACACTTGTTTTGTTTCTATATCTTGGCTATAGTAATAATGCTGCAATGTATGGGGCACAGATATCTTTTTGAGTTATAGTTTTTGTTTTGACACAGCCTTAATGTAAAAATTCTCTCCACAAATTCTATATAATAAAAGCCTAATATGCTAAGTGTCCGGTTATTAGTTCAACCAATTAAAGCATGATATGCTAATAGTATGCTAATGATATGCTAAGGCTATTCAACTGCTCACTATGATGTGTATTGACCACCAGGGGGCAGACACTCAGACCCATAGATTAGCTTGCTGCTGGTGTTCAGCCAATTGGGACTGAGAGAGACAGGCCAGACATGCCCTGAAGCCCTCCCGAGGTTCCTCCCCAACTGGCTCACCTCTTACAGTCCCTCCCCTGCCCTTATGGTGTATCAGTGGGGGTCCTCAGCTTGGCCTGAGCCCTCTAGGGGGATGGATCCCTTGGGGATGTCAGAGAGCCGGTTTCAGCTGATCCCACAGTTTAGACCGAGGGATCCCCACTGGTGCATGAATTCATACACCAGGACTCAAACTTTAAATATATCTATTCTAATGCTAGATTCAATTGTGAACCAATATTGAAACTTTTCACTTACCTTTTGCCTTATCCATAAAGTCTTTTTGTGCAAAAAGGTCATTCCCAAGCTAGAAGAAAACTTCCCTTAAAAGAGAAGAACAGCCGAAACCGGTTTGGCTCAGTGGTAGAGCATCGGTCTGAGGACTGAAAGGTCCCAGGTTCGATTCCGGGCAAGGGCATGTACATTGGTTGCGGGCATGTCCCCGGTAGGGGGTGTGCAAGAGGCAGCTGATTGATGTTTCTCTCTCATCGACATTTCTAGCTCTCTATCTCTCTCCCTTCCTATCTGTAAAAAATCAATAAAATATATTAAAAGAAAAAAAAAAGAGAAGAACAAACTAAGTCAGATTTGGTGGGGGAGACAGAGAAGGTGCAGCTATTTCAACAGCTGTAGCCTTGGGGCCAAGAAGGCAGTTCAGGAGAACACCCATTCCTCCCTGCTGAGTCAAGTGCTTTTCAAAACCACAGTGAATGCAACCACACTGGCCACAATGATCTTCCCGGGCTGGTCTGTTACCTGCGGGGAGGTTGGCACTGGCTGGGCCACAGGCGCCTGGGCGGCCGCTGACGAACACAGAGCCACAGAAGCTGGCGAGTCCGCTGCACCCTCTGAACTCTGCATGCTCAGTTCTGAAGAGAAGCGAAGAGAGGGTGAGCGGGCAGGGCTGCAGTCATGAGGCTCACAGAGGCAACTGCAGATGCAGACAGGACAGGCGAGCGGGAGTTCCCGATAACCTTCCAGGGTCAGAGCAGGGATCCGGCCAGGCTGGGTAAAGAACGGAAATAGATTGCACAACTGTTCCAAAGAAAGGGAGAGGGGAAGGGGCAGGGACTGTTCTTCCAAATATTAAACCAAAAAGTAACCCTCAGAGGCATGTGGGGACCACTGCTTGTCCCTGTCCCAGGCGGATCAGGGTGAACTATTTTCAGGACTCATGGAACTATTTACTCCCTGGTGGGTGCTTTTGTTTGGGGAGCTTGGCAGTGATTCTCCTCAGGCACTGTGACACTGGGGCTGGATCACTGTCTGGGGGGCATCCTGGGCACTGAGGGGTGTTGAGTAGCATCCCTGGCCCCCACCCACTAGATTCACTCCTCAGGTGGCGACAATAAAAAATGTCTCCAGACATTCTCCAATGTCCCCTGGGGCAAAACTGTCTCCCAGTTGAGAACCTCTGACCTAGGGAGAAAAAAGGTGATTACAGTGACAGTTAAGAAACACTGTGCTGGGCAGGGTACAAGTCCTCAGGAATGTCAGCAATAAATCAAAATTGCCCTCTGTACCTAGAGATCTTTGCCCACAAGAAATCATAAGAATGTATTTCTTTGTAGCCAGATGCATATGACTTTCAAATAGTTAGATTTAAAATTTTCTACAAAAAGACTCATTATCAGAACAAAGTGGCAAATGATACAAAACCATTCTATAAAATGCAGAAAGTCTAACTGTCTTCATTTTTAAATAAACTACTGGCTACCTTAAGCATTTGAGAGACAGCGAAATACATAAGCTGCAGAGAAAGGAGGTGGCTCTGCAGTCCCTATCCTGTCCTGGCCCCAGTTCTAAGCATGTCACTCTTATGAGTGGAGTTTCTTGGCTTCTGTATCACCATGTAGACCTGAATGGCACATCACAGTGCCCAGGATATAGTGCCAGAACTTTTACATTTCTCTATCACATCATGAGTTCCCACCTGCAAGAATGAATAAAAAATTTTTCCAAAGCCTTTGTGTGTGTGTGTGTGCAGAAAACAACTGGTAACAATAAAATAATTTGCCAAAGGGAAGTAGAAAGGGATATGTCTGGGTTTGAATCCAAATGTGCTAGTTAATCTCATATTTATTGACTGGGATTATTCCATGACTTCCTCTAGTCCCCTGTCCACAAGCCTTTGGTACCATGAGAGCCACTGGATGGATCTGTGGCCTGTCTGTGGCATCTTTGTTTCCTGTCAGCCTGACTCGGTTCTCAACACTAGATGTCCCCAGCACCACATAGTGACTGGCACATTCTCCTCTCTTTTTCAGAAGAGATTGTGGCTTTCCAACTCTCTCTGCCTTACTGACAGACTGGCCTTTGGAATATTCTGTTGGAAATTGCTTAACCGAGGTCTCTTATTTACAGTTTTCTCTAACACTTAAATCAGACATTTACACTCTGTATACCACTTTGTTCCCATTTGAAGCCAAGAAGTGGGTAACTTCAGTGACGCTAGGAGGAGATAATTGGACAAGAACTCTCTGTGAAAAGAATCTACTAGCAATAAAGTGAGAAAGTTGACTTCACTGAAACCACTTCTTTGTTCCAGAGGCAGAAATAATTTTGCCCCAAAGTCTAAGCCTTAGTGAAGCAAGGAGAGCTGTGAGAGTGTTGGGGATGGATAGTGAGTACATGCTCAGCTTACTGTGGCCAGAATATACCTTCTAGAAAACAAGTTATTCCATATCATGTGGCGTTTTCATGCTAACATGTTCCCTGGTTTAATACACTATTTACTATGCACTGTCTGAGTTTATTGCACTGTTCAGCTTGTATTGCTTAGACAAGGATTAGCACACTTTTGCTGTAAAGGACCAGAGACATTTTGGTCATCTATCTCTGCTGCAACTATTAGACCTTGCTATCATGGCACAACAATACGCTGACATGTAAACAAATGATCTTGGCTGTGTTCTAATACTAGTAAAACTTTATTTCCAAACACAGGCAATGGGCGATGGTTGCTGCTGCTCGGTCCACATAATCTGTGTTTGATAGAGTGATGTGGTTTTGGAAGATGAGTAGAAAAATTACACTGTCTTGATTGAAAACCTGGATGTCCACAGGCCCTTGCTCTAGTGCATAGTTCTTGTGGCCATATCTCACCAACTTGGCAGGGCTGGAGGGGGCTGCAGAGGGCAACTCGGATTGTTAGGAGGGCAGAGCTGCTAACATTTAAAGACAAATGGAAATATCAAACACTGGTCTGAAATAATAACAATGGTGCTCTAAAGCTTATGAAGTCACACTGATTCACCAAATCATGGAACCCCAGAAGCCAGATGCAGCCCTTAAAACCTAAGGAGTTTGGGCACAATAGACAGATCACTTTGGGGTGTTGTAGTGCACTGAATAGTGTCTCCTCAAATTCATGTCCACCTAGAATCTCAGGATATGATTTTATTTAGAAATAGTGTCTTTGCAGATATAATCAAGGTAAGGATTGAGATAAGACCATACTGGATTAGGGTGGGCCCTAAATCAAATGACAGAGTTCTTATGAGAAAGCACACACAGGGAAAAGGCCATGTGAAGACAGAGGCAGAGATTGGAGTGATGTAGCTACCAGCCAAGAGACTACAGGATTGCTGGGAGCCACCCACAGCTGGAAGCGGCAGGAAGGATCCTCCCTTAAAGGGATCAGACTCTGCCAACACTTTCTAGTCTCTGGAACTACAAACTGATATACATTTCTGTTGTTTCAAGGCACCCAGTTTCTGTTACCCAGGAAACTCAAATAAGGGTCCATAAGATGAGGAGCACAAGGAACAAGTAGGGACCAGGCCATACCACAAGATAATTTTGGTGTAGTGCTTCAGTACCATGCACAACTCAGGCAGTTGATACATACTGATCAAATGAATGAACACTTTAGTAATTCCCCAGTATTACATCTGATATTGAATTATATAAAACTAGCTAGTGAGACCATGAGAATCTATGATAGTACTTTATAAGACAGATAATAATACATGGGTTCATATTTCAAAAGGCACTTTGAGTAGAAAATATAAATAAATTCATAAAGGTTTCAGAAAATTTAAAATCTACTTTTAGGATATCTGGGACTATTTTGGGAAATGTAGTGACCTTTTGAGACTGATTGCTCTACTCTCCCTGAACACCTCCCTTGCTGCTAGTATCAGACACACAGACTGACAGACACTGTGTGAGCCAGCTTGGCTGCTCCGATATATTAACACACAACACGCCTGTCTGCAGAGAGCATGGAGTCCTTCCTTACCTACCTGAGATAATGTTGTAGGTTGCACATAAGATGATCCAGTTTTCTGAAATAAAATTTAAAAAATGGGTCCATTCATCCAAGGCTCTTAGTACATCAAAGTACATCTTAGTACAAAAAAGATTTTTAAAAGACATGTAAAAGAGTGCTGGCTTTCCGTAATGGTGGAGAAGATTGGATGGACTAACCCTCCTACAGATAACAATGATAAAATATGGGCAAAATATTTTTGTAAAAAACAACTCTTTAAAGTCACTGGCTATGCTGGGAGTGAGAGCAGGCAGGGAGAGGTCAATGGGGGAAAGGGAGTCATATGTAATACTTTCAACAACAAAGAATTTAAATTAAAAAATAAAATAAAGTCACTGGAAAGTGTCCAAAGCAGGCAGACACTGCCAGGAGTTCACCCCTGAAATACCACTGTCACAGGTCAGACCAGCAACTCCTGACTTTTGGCCCTGGGGCCACCCCAATCCACAAATGGTAGGGTAGCAGAAAGCAGCATTTTGTTGTGTTGAAGTGTCAGAGGAGAGAACCCAGAATGTTGGGAGGGAATCCTGGAAGAGAGAGAGGCACAGAGGGGGCAAGCCCCCAGATCCAACTACAGAGGCCACTGACCAGGGTTTGAACCAGAGACCTTTCAGTGCACGGATGACACCAAATCAACTGAGCCACATCAGCCAGAGCAGACCCAAATTTTTAAACCACACGTGTGTGGGAGACATCAGGGATCTTGGAGAAAAAAACAGCAGATTAAAGGTGAAAAAAACTAAGATTTCTGCTGTTGTCCACTGCAGGAGTGACAGAGCTTGAGCCCAGCCAAGTTAAATGCTATCAGGGGAACATGGCAGAATCCAGAGATATTACAACATATTTTTCACGATGTCCAGGACCCAATAAAAACTGTTGCTATGAGAAGAAATAGGATGCTGTCAACCATACTCAAGGGGGGAAGAAAAAAAAAAAAAAAAAAAAGGAGTCAATTAAAAGAAAATCAAGTGATGCAGATAAAGTAGCTACTAAAAATATGCTTAGGAACTTAAAGGAAATTATAAGTACAATGAATGAACATATGGGAATTTCAACCAAGGAAGAGAATCTATAAAAAAGAACTCAATAGAAATTCTGGAGTCCTAGACAGTTTGATTCAGCGGACAGAGTGCTGGCCAGCAGACTAAAGGATCCTGGGTTCAGTCTACCTCGGTTGCAGGCTCGATCCCCAGCTCTGGTTGGGGCATGTGCAGAAGGCACCCGACCAATGTCTCTCTCACATTGATGTTTTTCTCTGTCTCTCTTCTCCCTTCCACTCTCTCTAAAAAATCAATGGTAAAATATTCTCTGTTGAGGACTAACAAAAAACAAACAAACAAAAAAAGGCATTCTGGAGCTGGAAAGAGATTTCACTGAAATGGAAATTTCTCTGGATGTGTTTAATAGCTGATTATCAGAGATGGCAGAAGGAAGAGTCAGTGAACTTAAAGAAAGATCAATAGAATTTACCCAATCAGCCCAAACTGGTTGGCTCAGTGGATAGAGTGTCGCCTGGGGACTGAAAGGTCCCAGGTTCGAATCCAGTCAAGGGCATGTATCTTGGTTGCAGGCACATCCCCAGTGGGGG